AAAGTTAATTAATTAATTAATAATTGTGCTTCTACAAGCTGTCCAGACCCCATGGAATTTACACACAACCTGCACCCAAGCAAGGGCAAAATGAATCACTTTAGATTGGACTTGATTTCTGAGGCCCTACATAGGGAAAAATTGATATGATGTATGCTGTAAAACAAATAAGACCTAAAAGCCTGGCTTGGTGGCACAAGCCTTCAATCCCAGCCCTTGGGAGGCAGAGAAGGCAGCCATGAGTTCAAGGCCAGCCTAGTCTACATAGTGAGTTCCAGGACAGTCAGAGCCACATAGGGAGACTCTGTCAAAAAAAAACAAAAGCAAAACCAATAACAAAAAGAAAACAACTGAGTTAGAACTGTCATAAAACACAGCATCCAGGACTAGAGAGATGGCTCAACAGTTAAGAGCACTGGCTACTGCTCTTGTAGAAGACTCAGCTTTACTTCCCTAGCACCCACACAATGGTCCACAACCATCTGTAGCCCTGTTCCAGGGGACCCGATGCCTTTGCCTGGCCTACGGGCACCAGCCACGTTTACGGTGTACATAGATACATGCAGCATCTCCAGGAAAGGCTATTTGGGTTGTTTATGCCTCTTAATAATTGTAAATAGTTCTGCATTTTACATTCTTGGAACAGAGTTTTGTGGAATCACTCAGATACCTTTGCTGGGTAGAATTCTAGAAGTATTTTCTTGAAAGTCTTGAACAAAACAAAAACAAAAAACCTCTGTAGATCAGGCTGGTCTCACAGACACAGAGATCCACCTGCCTGACTCCCAAGTGCTGGGAATCCAAGCGTGTGCCACCACACATACCTGGCCTGGCTTACACTTTAATATTTTAAATCTTATGTTACCATTGTGTATGTGCCATGATGTGCTTGTGGAGGTCAGTGGACAATTCTGTAGTCAGTTCTCTCTTCTCTCCTCTATGTGTGTCCTAGGGGTTGAACCCAGGTAGCCGGGCTTGTGTGTTAAACTTCTTTATCCACCAAACCATCTCAACAGCTGATTTTAGGTCTCCAGAGGCCACCTGATTGCCTTCCAAAGGCTGCCTCAGCTTGCGCCTCACTCGTGTACAGTCATGGCTCCTCCACGTGGGTCCGGTGTCTCTCCATCACAGGGCATATACACAGGCATTTACGTAGCTAACAGGGTGAGGGTGAAAACTAATGGAAATGAAGGAAGAGAAAACCTAAGAACATATCTTAGGATTCTATTTCTCTGGTAAAACTCCATGTCCAAATGCAAACTGGGGAGGAAAGGGTTTCTTTCTGCATACAGCTAACAGTCCTTCAGGGAAGTCAGGACAGGAACTCAAGTCAGGACCAAAGCATAGACCATGCAGGGAAGCTGCTTACTGGCTTTTTCCTCCAGCTCATTCAACTGGCTTTTTTATACATCCCAGGACCACCTGCCCAGGAGTAGCAACACCCCCAGTGGGGTGGGCCTACCCATGTCAATCATCAATCAAGAAGATGCCCCACAGATTTGTCCACAGGCTAATCTTATGGAGGCATCTTCTCTATTGAAGTTCCTCTAGCTTGTGTCAAGACGGCTGAGAATCTAATCAGAACACACACACACACACACACACACACACACACACACACGTCATCCTTATTTTTCTGGTTCCTTTTATAAATGTAAAGTTGCATTGTCAACAATGTGGAATTTTATTCCCTCATTCAACGATCATCTATGGTAATTAAATTTATAATGGGGCTGCTCCCTAGGAGGGTAATAAGTCCTAATTAAACTTATTTGTTTGCATTGCTGGGTCTACTCCACAACACGCTCATGTGCATAAGCACTTTACTTCCTAACCCCAAGCTTATTTAAATGCATTAGTACTAACCTGAGCTGATTTAAATGCATTAGTATTTATGGTTAGAAGGTGCTGCTCTTAAGTCCTCACTGCTGTTTTGCCAGGTTTTTTTTTGGGGGGGGGGTTGGGGGGGTGTTCGAGACAGGGTTTCTCTGTGTATCCCTGGCTGTCCTGGAACTCATTCTGTAGACCAGGCTGCCTCTGCCTCCCAAGTGCTGGGATTAAAGGCGTGCGCCACCACTGCCCGGGTTTTTGCCAGTTTTAAGAAGCAGCTGAGGCAGAAGGGCAGAAGGATTGTGAATTCAAGGCTAGCCTGGGTTACACAATGATTTCAGTCTAGCCTGGACTACCTAGCAAGAACCTTCTCCCCCTTTCCATTCTGCTGTTCTCAAAGTAAATGTATATCTCAAAGAAAAATGTATCAATTTTTAAGAAAAGATAATAGAAGAGCTACTCTGTATATGAATTTAGCGTCTGACTCTGGGTCATCTGTGAGTGTAAAGGCAGAAGGGGCTGGAGTAGGAAAGAGACTTTACTTTCAGAAAAGAAAGGCAAAAGAATTTGTTTTCTTCCTGAGTTCACCAAGTGTAACCCATTGTAACATGGAGTTGTGCTTAAAAAGATTCCATCTGGAAATCAGTTGGATTCCATCCTCTCTTTTACTATGTTGGTAAAATGCTTGTGAAAATAGGCCCTGCGTTCAACCTTTCCATCCACCTTTCCATCCATCCATCCACCCACACACCTACACACCTACACACCCATCCATTGCCAGTAATAATGAATGACTATGGAATGCGTGCTGTGTGCCAGATATCGTCCAGCTGTCTTTTATACAATTAGCCAAAGTCATCCCCCAATCTGCTCTCATCTCTTCTTCAGAATGGATTCTGAGGGCCACCTAATAAGTCAAGCTTAGAGTTACCTCCACTCAGCACATAGGTTATATGCACCAAAGAACTAAAGACAGGCATTCAAACAAAACCTTGTACAGGGATGTTCCTGGCAGCTTACTCACAATAGGTGCAAAGTGGAAACAACTTACCTATCAACAGATGCCTGGATATCCCAAGTGTGAAGTACCTATACAATGCAATATATTCATTCACATAAAGAAAATTCTAGTTCATGCTAAAACATAGATGCCTCTTAAAAACATGGGAAAACCATGAGTTGTCCAGACATTGTCCATTCACAGAAGCAGAGTAGTGGTTTCAAGAGACTAGAGTGAGACTACACAGGGCAGTGACTGCTTAATGGGTTTGTTATTTGTGGAGGGTGACAAAAACCTTTTGGAACCAGATCCCAGATTGTGCCTATGATTGCACAACATTGTAAGCATGCTCAGTATCACTAAATTGTATGATTTAAATGGTTAAAATAGGGCGGGAGAGATGGCTCAGTGATTGAGAGCACTGACTGCTCTACCAGAGGTCTTGAGTTCAATTCCCAGTAACCACATGGTGGCTGATGTGATCTGATGCCTTCTTCTGGCATGCAGGTGTACATGCAGAAAAAGCACTCATGTGCATAAAATAAATATATAAATAAACAAACCTTTAAAAAAATTGGTAAAATAAAAGCTGGGTGGTGGTAGTGCATGCCTCTAATCCTAGAACAAAGGCAGGCGGATCTCTGTGAGTTCAAGGCCAGTCTGGTCTACGGAGCAAGATCTAGACTAGCCAAGGCTACACAGAGAAACCCTGTCTCAAAAACAAACAAACAAACAAACAAAAAACCCCCAAAAAGTGGTTAAAATAGTTTCATGTCATCAATTTTCATTTTACATTCATTTATTTATTTTGGGGGTGGGGGCGGGGGTGTCGATTCTCTCTTTTACTATGTTGGTTCTAAGAACTGATCCAAAGTCTTCAGGCTTGACACTGAGCCATCCTACCAGCCCAAGTTTCATGTTACTTACCATAGATTTAAAAAAGTAATCTGGAGCTCAATGTGTGTGACTTGCTTGAGGTATCACACATCAGCCCATACATCGGATACATGAAAGAATTTGCCTTTGCTGTTGTTGAGATAGATCTAGCTGATGCCATACCCCTGGGCTTAGCTCAAGTGCTTTTCCCACCTCAGGCTGCTGAGTGATAGACCTCCAGGCCCCGTTGCCACACTCAGCTGGAACTATGCTTCTTCACTATTGTTTTGGGCCTGGTCTCACGTATCACAGGGTGACCTCCAGTCGGCTGCGGAGCAGAGAAAGCTTGAATTTCTCCTCCTGTGGCTACCATCCAAGTGCTGGGATGGACAGCAAGCACACCTAGCTTAGATGGTTTTGGAGGATCAAACCCAAAGGCTTGCATGTGCTACACAAACACTTTGCCAATTGAGGTAGATCTTTATCCCCAAACTGTGTTTTAAATTTGGTCATTCAACTTCATGAATATGCATTTTTATTTAAATAAATGTATTCAATTATTCATCTGCTCTGTTACTTACTTGTGTATATAAGGTCTCTTGTAGCCCAGGCTTGCTTGAACCTCACAGTACTGTTGAGGGTGTCCTTGGCCTCTTGCCTCTCAGCTGATGGAACTTCAGGTACCCACCACCACATTCAGCTTTTTCTTTTTCTTTTTGGTTTTTCGAGACAGGGTTTCTCTGTGTAGCCCTGGCTGTCCTGGAACTCACTCTGTAGACCAGGCTAGCCTCGAACTCTCAAACTCAGAAATCGGCCTGCCTCTGCCTCCCAAGTGCTAGGATTAAAGGCGTGCGCCACCACCGCCCGGCTATTGTTGATTTTATAAAGAAAAGAACACACAGAGTTTACTACATCCCTAGGGTCTTTGAGCATTAGACTCCCTGCTTTTAAAAAAATTAAATTACCTTTATTTTATTTATTTATTTATTTTTAGGATTTGTAGGAGAGAGAGAGAGAGAGAGAGAGAGAGAGAGAGAGAGAGAGAGAGAGAGAGAGAGAAACCTGCCCCGAATCCCTGCATATTTAAACAGTTAAAAAAATATGGTGAAAACCTGAAATCTGACTTGGGGCCACTTAGTAGGTTTAGGCCATTGTGATGATCTTTAGCTGCCTCCTAGCTATAAACAGGAAGGACCGGGAAAACAAAGCTTTCCAAAGAGTCCAGGAAAGAACCACAGCCTGCAACCAAAGGCTGGCCCTGTCTTCCCTACATTCACATTCAGGTCTGTTTTAGGTGGAGGGAGGCCCAGGACAATGGCTGCTGCTCACGAGATGCTGGAGAGTGTGAATCTGAATATGGAGAGAGACGGAAAGGAAGAACCGGAGGAGGAGAAAATGAGAGGGGATGGGGAAGATAAAGACGTCCCCAGGAGCAGAAAAGTCCACAGGATTGTCTCCAATTGGATGCTTCCTGAGCCAGCCCGAAGAACATACATGGAGAGAGCCAACTGCTTCCCACCGCCCCTGTTCATCATCCTCATCAGCCTGGCTGAGGTAAACACTGCCCTGGTGAGGGCCCTCCTATCACTTCAGACTGGAGGCTGCAAAGTCGGGACAAAACCTACCTAGAGAAGAAACCATGTAAGAAGAGAGCACAGAGGGATAAGGGTAGCATGCATGAAGCCTCCGCCCACTCACAGCTCCTGAGCTGATTTGTCCAGTCACTGCCAACCCAGGGATCGGTTTCATCCACGAAAGTCCGCTGCCCGGGGTTGATTTCATAAGCTTCATTTCATTTTAGCTGGTGTGGTCTTTAAGAAAACAGGGAACTTTGGGTCTGCAAATTAGCCTTCTTATTTTTATTTTATTTTATTCGTTTAAGATGGGATTTGGCATTGTAGCCCAGGTTGGCCTCTAACTCACTATGTAGCTCAGGCTGGCCACAAACTCACTATAATCCTTTTGTCATAGTCACCTGGGTGTTGGGATTCTAGGCATGCACCACCGTGTTCGGCTTTATCTCATGAAACAAAATAGACTGGTTGGTCAGGTCAGTCTGGGGTATATATTTAGAACAGTCACCAGCTGCCTGAGCTTTCAGAGGGAAAATGTAGCATCTTCTGTGGGTGTCTACTTTGGGTGGATGGGATATATTCTCGACTATGACCTGCTTAGCTTTCTTGGTTTCCAGAAGGAGGGCAAAGCTCAGAGAGGTAGGATGAGTCACCCAAGGGTGTGTCTCTGTGACTGGGAAGGGCTAGGCCCCTCCTGTGCTTTGTGATATAAAGTTTTTTCTTGTAGACAGAGGACTTAGGAGAAATTGCTGCCTGGAGGACATGACTTCAGGGGCATTAGGATGTCCCTAGAACAATCCTCTTAATTCTCACTAATGCCCCAGCTTTGGTGTCAGGGACTGCAGTAACTGGGGCTCCCCAGCAGAATAGAATCAATAGGCTGAGGGAGGTTTCAGCTCCACAATCTTCAGGGTAGGCTAGAGACCCCGCCTACCTCGTGTTGAGTTCAAGGTCGCTTATTAAGTATAATTCTTTTCCTCATCAAAAGCAGTCTTTTTCTATTAAGGCTTTCATCTGATTGTGTGGAACTCAGCTACAAGATGAGAAAGGGGTACCAAATTAAATACCATCTTCATCTCGAAAAATGATCTCACATGGGCATGGTGGCATGACCTTGTAATCTCAGAACTTGGAAGCTGAAGCAGGAGGATCTTGAGTTTAAGGGAGCTTAGGCTACATAGTAAATTTGAGGCTAGCCTAGGCTATATAGTGAGATGCTATAACTAAGTAATTTACTAACTAGTGAATAACCAACCAACCAACCAACTAACTTACTTACTTAGTTAATAGATGGACAATACAATCGATAGAAAATGGTATATCTGGATATATCATTCTGAGTATATATGTGAGAATGAGGGAGACGCTGGAGAATGATGGGAGATGCTCACATGTTTATGAATAAGACAGCACAGCTCTGAGAGCTGTGAGTTTTGTGAGCTCTGAGAACACACAGAGCTCCCTACAATGAGGTCCTGGAGCAGGTGCCAGAGTAGCTGGCTCATACAGGAGGGCCACTTGTAGATACTGTCTTATTGAGAGAGGGCTTGCCTGGCATGCTCTCTCTCCAAGGTCTTGTAAAACCAGGTACAGTGGGACACACCTATAATCCCAGCACTTGGAAACTGGAGACTGGAGAAGTTCAAGAAAAGACACCCTCAGCTGCATAGCAAGTTCAAGGCCAGCCTGGGATTCATGAAACCATGTCAAAAAGAAAGAAAGAGAGAGAGAGAGAGAGAGAGAGAGAGAGAGAGAGAGAGAGAGAGAGAGAGAGAGAGGGGAAGGAAGGAAGGAAGGAGGAACAAAGAAAAAAGAAAAGAAAGGTTGCAAAAAATAGAATATAGTCCCTAATTCTTCCATTGTTAATATTACATAGCTCCAAAGTTTCTTAGATCTAAAACATTGATATTGGTATATCATTGGCCAAGTAGCCCTTAACAGAAATGCTCGCATCAGAAGTGGTTCCTGATTATGAATATTTCTTTTTTTCTTTTTTATATTTATTATTTAATTGTGTGTAAGTGCAGGTGCCTGCAGAAGCCAGAGTTATTGGATCCCTCCTGGAGCTGGAGTTACAAATGGTTGTGAGCTACCTGATATGTGTACTGAACTCTGGTCCTTTGGAAGAGCAGTATGCTTTTATTCACTGAATCATCTCTTCAGCATCCATGTTTCAGAATATTTCTGAGTTGTTTTTAATTATGTGTATATGTGTGTGGGAATGGGGAGGGTTGTGCATGTGAGTACAAGTACCCGTGGATGCTAGAAGAGGATGCTGGGTTCCCTGGAGCTGGAGTTAAGCAGTTGTAAGCTGTATAACATAGATGCCAGGAACTGAACTCAGGCCCTTTCCAGTTGTAGTGTATGTACCCTTAATGGCTTAGCTATATTTCCAGTTCCAATTTTGAAATATTTGTATAGACTTAGTGCTCCCAAATTTAAAATGTTAGGTTTAAGGAGATAGTTGACTCGGTAAAGAACGTCCCATGCAGGCATATTGACATGAATTTGATCCTTAGAGCCCATGTAAAGGAGCCAGAAGTGGTGGTATGTGCTTAAATCCTAGCACTAGGGAGGTGGGGACAGATAGGTGGATCCCTGAGGCTTGCTAGCCAGCCAGCCTAGCCTACTGTTTGAGCTTTAGGTCAATGAGAGACTGTCTCCAAAAGCACAGTGTGTAGCACCTGAGGGAGGATACCTGAGGTTGACCTCTGGCGTCCACATGTATGTGTGCACACATGAACACTGGCTCACACACAAACCTCAAACTTGCTTTTAAAATTTTTATTTTTTATGTATATGGTGTTTTGCCTGCATATAATAGCTGTGCACCATATGTGTGCCTCATGCCCTCAGAGGCCAGAAGAAGTCATTAGAGTCACTGGAGTTAGAGATGGCTGTGAGCACTATGTTGGTGCTGGGAATCAAACCTGGATCCTCTGGAAGATCACCCAGTGCTCTTACTTGTTTGTTTGTTTGTTTGTTTGTTTTTTTCTTTCCTTTTTTTTTTTTTTAATACACTCCAGATCAGCCAGTGCTCTTAACCCCTGAGCCATCTCTCTAGATTTCTAAAACTTTTTGTTTGAAGTGTCATGTTGGTACTCAAAAATTAAAAACTTTGGAGCATTTGGATTTCATATTTTGTACTCAAGAGGCTGAAGTTGCACTATTAACTAAACTCCAGACTTATATTTGCTCTGTTTTTCACTAATGTCCTCTTTCTCATCCTCTGGTCCTTCCAATACAGGGTTTCACACTGCATTAAGTTGTCCTGCCTCCTCAGGCTCCTATGATTCATGACAACTTCTCAGTGGTCTATCAAGACCCTGATAAAGATGAAGTATATTGGCCAGGTACCTTATAGAGTGTCCTCGTCTGGGGTCGTCTGAGGGTTTTTTCGTGCTTAGATTAGAGTTGGGAGTGTAGAGGAAGAAAGGCACAGGTAAAGTGCCTTCCCATCACATCGTGAGGTAAAGGATGTCACATGACATCATTCCCATCCTATCATGAGGTAAATGACATCACATGATGTCACCGGGACGCTGGTCTTCATCATTTCAGTAAGGTCGTCTACCAGGCTTCTGGGCTGTGAAGATAAAGTAAAGGAAAGTGAGGGACATGGGCTGTGTAATCAGGGAGGGCACTAGAGAACAGTGACATCAGACTGTCAGAGAAGCCAGGAGACAGGGACTCAGAAAGTCATCATTACAATCTTGTCTAACACCTGCTCATCATGAGGACATATGACCTTGGCGGGGCATGGTGGAGAGATCCAATTTCAACATCTTCTGAGCCCACAGAGAGCTAACCACTCAGACACAATTACTGCTCGTGGGTTTTAATGGGGCCCAGCTTCTGAGAGAGTTGGTTAACATGCATGATCGCTCCTCCCTGACAGCTGGCTGTGTTTATTTATTATGCGGTTTGGAAGCCTCAGAAGCAGTGGATCACCCTGGACATGAGGATCTTGGAAAGTCCCTTGACGTACTGCCCAAAGAAGAGGGAGGAAGCCTGGAGGTTTATCTCATACATGCTGGTCCATGCAGGGTAAGGAATGATGGCCCAGTCAATGCTGTCAAAAGCGTTCATAAGTAATTGTTAGTCTGGGCAAGGTGGTGCATGCCTGACATTCCGCACTGGGGAGCCAGAGCAAGATCATGGCAAGCTTAAGGCCAACATGACCTACATATAGAATTTCAGGCCAGCCAGCCACATAGCCAGACTCTGTCTTAAAACACAAACAAAACCAGGGTGTGTGTGAGAGATGACACAGAGGGTAAAGAAACCAGCCAAACCCAACAGCCTGAGTTCAAGCCCCAGATCTCATAAAGTGGAAGGAGAGAACTGAATCCTGCAAGTTGTCTTCTGACATTTACACAAATGCACATGCACGCACGTGTCCGCGCGCATACACACACTCTCACACACACAGACACACACACAAATATAATAAGATTTTAAAATTAAAAAAAAAACACAGCAGAGAGAAGTGGGGCACTCCTTGAATCCCCCACTAGGAAAGCAGAGGCTGGTGGATCTCTGAATTGAAGGCTAGCCTGATTTTTACAGAATTCCAGGTCAGCCATGGCTACATAGTGAAACCCTGTCAGGGGACAGGGGAGTGAAGGACGAAACCCAAATAGCCACTAATGTGTTTGGAACTTTTGTTATGATCATTATTATTTTTATTTGTGTGTATCTGTCGCATGTACAGTGGTCCCCTTGGAAGCTAGAAGTGCTATGGTCTGCGTAACTGTCTAATTCTGGTATTGATAAAGGGATATTAATGAGATGAGACCAGATCACTATCAAACCAAGAGTAGGTCACCCTACTTATTGGATGTTGTCCAGTGCTCCATTTAGGTGATGAAGAAGCCGAACTGAGTCACCAGACTGCCTCCCCCAAACACACTCTGTAAAAAATTAACTTGTGAGCGTTTCGACTGATGTAAGGGACTGTGGATCAGTTAAATAGCAGCATGAGGAGGTGTGTACAGTATAGAGAAGCAGTACACATGGAGCTGGAAAGAAGGCTCGGGGCAAAGAGTGCCCACCCCAGGGCATGGGCTCATGTGTCGGCAGCCCCAGTGCTGGACAGGAAGCTTGCTATGCTTGCCAGCTGCCAGTCTAGCTGAACAAAGCACACTTCAGATTCAGGAGAGACCCAGCCTCAAAGGAAGAAGGTACAAAGAGAATGATAGAGAAGATCCTGGTGCAACTATACAACACCTTCACAGGCAACACACACACGCACACTCACTCACAAATAAAAGAAGGGAGCAAAGTAAGAAAGATAGGTAACGAACAGGAGAGGCTGTTTGCCCTTCCAATTTTCTTTCTTTCTTTTCTTTTCTCTTTTTTGTTTCTTTTTTCAAGACTGGGTTTCTCTGTGTAGCCCTGGCTGTCCTGGAACTCACTCTGTAGACCAGGCTAGCCTTGAACTCACATAGATCTGATTTCCTTTGCCTCCTGAATGCTGGGATTAAAGATGTGTCCTACCACCTTCAGGCTTTGTTTATAGTTTCCCAAATGTGAGAGCCTTTCCAGATCTTGCTCAGCACCAGCTCATGGTACATACCTGCAGTCTCTCTATGTGGGAGGTAGAGGCAGGAGGGTCAGGAGTTCAAGGCCAGCATAGATTATATGTCTCAAGGAAAAAAAATCAGCATCTGTGGTCCCCCATGTCCATTGTGGTCAGTAAATAGCTTGTGGCTATCTCATTTCTTTGGGGGGAGGCCTGTGGTATCAGGTGAGTTGAGCTTCACCCGTGTGACTCACCCTACCCTGGTTAAATCACATTTTTGGTCAGTGGCTAATTAGACATACAGGACAGGGTGCAAGCAAGGACTTGGTGCTGAGTACAGAACCCAGAGCTTCATGTGTACTAAGCAACCAAGTGCTATGCCTTCCCTCTGACCTTCAGCCCCTGCCCTCAAGTTCTATTATTATTATTTTACAAAATGTTTTTGAGACAGAGTTTCACTATGTAGCTTGAATGGTCTGGAACTAAATATGAAGACCAGGCTAGCTTCATAGAAATCCATCTGCCTCTGCTTCCCAGGAAATGGGACTAAAGTTGTGCACCACCATACCTGACTTCATTCTTTAAATCAGCTTCATTGGTCTTTGTTTCATGCTGCAATCATTGTTGTAAAGTAGAACTTACAACACACACTTATATTTCTTTCCTTTTAAAGATTTATTAATTTATTTTATATATGTGAGTACACTGTCGCTCTCTTCAGACACATCAGAGGAGGGCATTGGATCCCATTACAGATGGTTGTGAGCCACCATGTGGTTGTTGGGAATTGAACTCAGGACCTCTGGAAGAGCAGTCAGTGCTCTTAGCTTCTGAGCCATCTCTCCAGCCTCACATTTATAGTTCTAAAAGACTTTTATTTGTTTTACATACTGAAGCTTCATGTGAGATTTTATTTAAAAAACAGATAAGAGAGCCAGGAATGGTGGCACATACCTTTAATCCCAGCACTCAGGAGGCTGAGGCAGGTGGATCTCTGTGAATTCAAGGCCAGCCTGATGTACAAATCAAGTCCAGGACAGCTAGGGCTACTGCAGAGAGAAACCCTGTCTTGAACCCCACTCCTCAAAAAACAACAACAACAAACAGAAAACCCCAAAAACAACAACAATAAAAATAGATAAGAGAAAAAAAACAAAACAATAACAGCAAAACAGATTAAAGAGTTGCCTCTTTTGAAAAAACTAGAATATAGGAACTGGAGAGATGGCTCCGAGGTTAGGAGCACTTGCTGCTCAATTTTGAGAACTGCAGCTTTGATCTTAAGACTTATGCAGAGTGACTCACAGCTTCTGTGACTCCAGCTCTAAAGGATCTGGAGCCCTCTTTTGGCTACCGTAGGGGCATTCCCCCCAACCCTTCTCTTTCTCTCACATAACATTCTAGCAATTTCCTAACTAGAAATATCACATGCAAATCTCCCAATGACAACTTCGTGCTGCTTGGCTTTTGACCCATGTTTGTCTCTGCAGAGTCCAGCACATCGTGGGGAACCTTTTTATGCAGCTTGCCCTGGGTATTCCTTTGGAAATGGTCCACAAAGGCCTCCGAGTGGGGCTGGTGTACCTGGCAGGAGTGCTTGCAGGTCAGTGTTCTGAGGGCAACACCAAACAAACACTTCTGGGCTCTTAGGATCGAAACCAAAGGTAATAGATGTTTACAATGGACATTTTTTAAAAATTGAAGTCAATATTTGTTGCACCGTTGCATATTATATACATGTCATGTAATATGCTATGGACTATAGTAAGTGTTAGAGATACTGTAACTGGAGATTAGATATTAGAGATAACACGAGCACAAGAAGATAAGTCACAGTGGCTGTCCTTAAATATCTCACAGTCTCCGAGAGATGTTGCACAGCTGGAAATTATAAGCAGCTTAGTGTTTGGATCTTGAAGCCTCTGATATACTACACTAATGATTCTGGAAAGGAACATGGCCAGCTTTGCATTTAAGAAAGACAATTTGCTGGATGTGGTGCACAATTTTAATCCCAGCACTTGGGAGAGAGAGAGAGACAGGTGAATCTCTGTGAGTTCAAAGCTAGTCTGACCTATATAGCAAGTTCTGGGACAGCCGGAGCTACTTACATGTCTCAACAAACAAACAAGCAAACACACACACATCTTAATTTTGAGAAAGCTATAGGTTTACATGAGTTATAGGAACTACCTTAAGGCCCCAACTACGTTTGGATATTTGTCACCAATGTTGCTATCCTGTACATTGTAACACAACAACAAAGCCAAGATGTTCACGGTCATGCAGTCAAGATAGTAAGTACCCACAACACCCCGAAGGGCCCTCACTCTGCCTTTTCATGGGCCAGCCTCTGCCTTCCCACCTCCCTTACCACCGACAAGCACTAACCTGCTCTCATGTATTTGTGTTGTTTCTGCAATGCACGCGGTTATTTTTCCCTCGCTGAGCAGAGTTCTGTGTCATGGTCATGTCTAGCTGTTCACTCCCTGAAGGGTATCTACATTGTTTTTACATTCCCTATTGCTTTTTGAGAGAGGGTTTCTTGTAGCCCAGGTTGGCCTTTAATAGGCAAGGATGCTTTTCAATTCCTGATCTTCCTCCCTCTACTTCCCAAGTGAGGGAATTGATTGTAGGTTTGTGTGGTGTTGGGGACTCAGCAGCTTCCTGAATGCTATGTAAACATTCTCTTGAGCCACATTCCCCATCTTTGTGTTTGAGACTGGTCCCATCATTCAAGCTGCCCAGGAACTCTCTAATATGAGATCCTCCTGTCTCAGCCTCTCAAGTGCTGGGATTACAGGCATGCTTTGATGAGACACCATGAACAAAAAGTAAGTTGGGGAGGAAAGGGTTCATTCAGCTTACACTTCCATATCACTGTTCATCATTGAAGGAAGTAGGACAGGAACTCAAAGAACCCAGAGGCAGAAGCTGATGCAGAGGCCATGGAGCATGCTGGTTACTGACTTGCTCCTCATGGCTTTCTCAGCCTACTTTCTTATAGAACCCAGGACCATCAGCCCAGGGATGGCCCCACCCACAATGAGCTGGGCCCTCCTACATCAGTCATTAAGGAAATACATGGTTAGCTACAGCCCAATCTTATGGAAGCCTTTTCTTAATTGAGACTCCCTCTTCTCAGATGATTTTAACTTGTGTCAAGTTGACATAAAATTATCCAAGAGCCACCACACCTGATGCTAACTTTTTCCTTTCCCATGTAGCCTTATTTTCAAATAAAATCTCTGGATTTCAAATATTGTTCCTGGGAATTGGATGTCAACATGTATGTGGCTTAGGGATTACAATTCAACTCAATTATGTTCATTCCTCTTTCTCCTCCTCTCCCTCCTCCTTCCCCTCCTCTTATTGTTCTTGTTCTTCTTTTCCTTCCTTCCTTCCTTCCTTCCTTCCTTCCTTCCTTCCTTCCTTCCTTCCCTCCCCCCTCTCCTTTCCTCCTTCCTTCCTTCCTTCCTTCCTTCCTTCCCTTCCTCCCCCTCTCCTTTCCCCTTCCTTCCTTCCTTCCTTCCTTCCTTCCTTCCTTCCTTCCTTCCTTCCTTCCTTCCTTCCTTCCTTCCTTTCAGCTGATGGGAGGTTTGTCAGCCGCTGTCTGAGAGAATTCCTGGAGGGCCTGGATGGTAGGGTGCAGTGGCAGCACTGTGGACAGCGGGATAGTCTTGAGCTATAGTAAACACAGGACTTTGAAAGGGCTTAGTGACAAGGCTTGGTTCCTTATCAGACACCCACCTACCATTTGGGATCGCGTTTCTCCATCTTGTCTGTTTCTTCATGCATCTTTTTGTTCTCGAATGCAGAGGTGTGGGCTTGCCTGCCTCCTGCATCTATTACACATTCGCTCTCTGCTCATGGCTCGATGTCAATGTGTAGCCTCAGCTCTACCCAGCACCAGGGCAGCACCTGCAGGAGAATGGGAACAATTAGTTCACATCCTCTGGTGATTTCAGCCATCACTTTTTGGCAGGTTTCTCTTACTATTCAGGTCGGTGCTTCCCACCGCTGTTGGGATCATGTTTGGGAAACAGCAATTCACAGTGGTCAAAAGAAAGCCAAGACACCAAGAATGCTGTACCCCTTGCCTACCTGGCAGAGTTGCCTTCCCTGATTTGCCTTTTCTCTTTACTTTTCCATAGGCAATGTCACCCTACCATCCTTCCTCTGGCTACCTGTGAGGTGTGCCCACCGACCCACAATGTCAGCATCAGAAGAAACTGCTCAGGCAGGGTGTTGGAGCCAGACCAGTTCTGACCATTAGAATTCTTTCTATAAATTCACAGGAGCACATTAAAGACCAAGATGTCTGCCTCCAGATTAGCATCCCAAAGCTGACTGGTGCTCAGAATCACCGGGAGAGCTCAGTATACCTAGAGCCTCTCAGTTCCCACGAGACCTACTGATCCAGACTCTCTGGGGACATGGTCCTGGGATCTACATTTTGTAGGGCATATGACAGTAAAGCAGAGCATTTTATGTCCTCTCCTCTTTCATAGACTCGTAGTTCAGTATGGCCAGTCTTTCTTGTAGTACCCTATCTGTTATGTGCCTAGCAATGACTGAGTGGGTTAACTGTGCGTTCCTAATAATGACTCTGTCCTGCCACTGTACCGTCGTCTCTACTAAAGGTTTGTTTAAATCATCTACATTTTTGGTCCACATTCTTTCTGGAGTGTAACTAGATAAGACGTGCAGATATTTCTTCCCTGTGTGAATCTGGCCTTTCATTCCCTTCTTGGGTTTTGGTTTAGCGGGGACCGAGCCACTTCTCACATGCGTGCTGGTCAAGACCGTAGCTGAGCTACGCCTGCACTCCCTTCTTTCTCTCATTCCTCTCTTCCTGTATAATTTCTCTATTTTGATTTGTGATGTAGAGAGTGGCATTAACTGACTTTCCAGTGTTAAACCAAGCTTGATCCTGGGACGACACTTGGTCATGGTATATTATGATTTTTACAGACGATTAGATTAGATTTGTTAAAAATTTAAAAGGCTTATTTTGTTTTTAATTATTCATATGTATGTGGATATGTATATGACTGCAGTATCAGCCACAGTGGCCAGAAGCATGGTTCTCTCTCCTCCTCTCCTTCCTCTTCCTTCTTCTTCCCCACTTCTGTCCTTCCCTCCCTCCTTCTTTCCCTCCCTCCCTCTCTCCTTCCCTCCTAACCCTTCTTCCTTCCTTTGCTGGAGACTGAGCCCAGGGAAGTCCTCAGTCTGCTCTCTCCCACTGAGTCAGTCACATCCTCATAGAGGGCAGTTCTCTCGTAATGTCTTTGCTCACCTAGCACTAAAGTAGCTCTCCCTCATACAGCAAGTAGGAAAGTGTCTTAGCCTTGTCAGGCGTATGGTGAGGGCTAGGCAGTGATTGTTATCACTTGGAAAGAGGCAGTGGTGCCGGGAATCAAGCAGCCTTGCGCACAGTAGGCAGGCACTCTACCACTGAGCCTCATGCTCAACCCTGGCCATTACTTCTTATTTAAATGATTCTTAGGATTCAGCAGTGAAGCAGGGTGTATGCCTATAATCCTAACACGAAGGAGATGGGGCAAGAGGATCAGGAGTTCAAGGCCATCCTCTACTCCACAGCAAGTTTGTAAATAACTTGTTTTAGGTGAGATACTCAGTCAAAATCCAAAACTAAAACAAACACGCCAGCAAAAAGCCATCTCAGCGTGTAATTTGCTGTGTGGAAAGATTTTAAACTTTAATTCAATTTTAAAAATAGTTATCATCGCTGGGCAGTGGTGGCGCACACCTTTAATCCCAGCACTTGGGAGGCAGAGGCAGGTGGATTTCTGAGTTCGAGGCCAGCCTGGTCTACAGAGTGAGTTCCAGGACAGCCAGGCTTATACACAAAGAAGCCCTGTCTCGAAAAACCAAAAAAAAAAAAAAAAAAAAAGTTATCAGCCCAGGTGTGGTAGAACACTAATCCCAACAACTCAGGAGGCAGAGGCAGGCAGATCTCTGTTAGTACAAGGCCACTTTGCTTTACATAGATAGCACGTTGGCGAATTCCTGGACAGCCCAAGGCTACATTGTTAGACCCTGTTTCAAACAAACAAACAAACAAACAAACAAACGCACAAAAAACAACAAAAAATCTATTTATTATCTTTTTATTTATTATCTGGTGAATATGCTGTGGTATATTCTTGTTTTGTTTTAATAGGATTTCATGACATAGATCAGACTGGCCTTGAATTTTAGCAGTCCTCCGACCTCTGTCTCCTATGTTGGGATTAAAAGTACGTGCTTTTATGCCCAACTTCTCATTCTATTTATGTATGTGTTTATTTAGTGTATGTATACATTTGAGGGTACCATGGTATGCACCTTGAGGACATATTTCTTCTTCTCCTCTTCTTGCGCCCCCTCTCCCTCTCCTTTGCCTCCCCTCCTTTCCTCATGACAGAGAACTCTCTCCTGAGAAGTCATTCCTTCCTGAGTGCTTCCTCTGCACATCTCGGATTTATCTTATGTGTTTGGGTGTTCTGTTCGTCACATGCATGCAATACTTATAGAGACCAGAAGAGGGCATCAGATCCCTCTGGAACTGAAGTAATAGGTGGTTGTGAGCCACTATGCTCATGCTAAACTTTGGTCCCCTGGAAGAGCAGCCTGTGCTTCTAACAGCTGAGCCATCTCTCCTGCCCCGAGACATTCTTTTTTACACATAACAAAGATTGTATCCCATCCTAAGAAATGAAAGGTCATGAGAGGAAGATACCAAGTAGTAATAGTAAGAAGTTTTGAGAAGACCTCTTAATGTTCATGATGTATTCTTTGGCTCAGGTGTCTAACACTGGGTTGGGAAGTGAGTTTCATCTTGCTTCCAGAATGTGATTGAACTTTTTGCTAAGAAGGATTCTGAGGCTACCTCCAGACCATGAGATGGCTCAGTGGGTACAGCAGTTTTCTAGAATTATGGGAGATAAGAACATCTGTTGTACACACTTACTTTATTGGTGATCACCCTTACTTATTTTTCCATATGTGGGTATGTATGTGTGTAGACCCTTGTACAGGTCAGAGGACAACTTGGCTCTCTTCTTCCACCACATGGGTCCCAAGGATCAAACTCAGGTTATGGGGCTAGGCAGCAGGCTCTTTCATTGGCTGAACCACCTCACTGGAAGGTGAAGTAATAGCTAGCAAGGCTATGAAACCCATCACCACACACGCAATGCTTTTGTATGATATATTTATCAACTCTTTGACTTCCCCTCTCAGCCTACTGGGGACTGCTTAGTTAATATTTCCATGTTTACACACATGAGAGGTTGAATAATGTCCCAAAGTCACTCAGTGATTCTGGCTCCAGGGTCTGAGCATCTGTCTCTGTTTTACTGCTTTTCTTCTTCTTCTTCCTCCTCTTCTTCCTTTCAGTTTTTTTGAGACAGTGTTTCTTTGTCTAGCCTTGGCTTGTCCTAGAACTAACTATCTTTGTAGACAAGGCTGTCCTTGAACTCACAGAGATCCACTTGCTTCTGCCTCCTGAGTGCTGGGATTAAAGGCATGCACCACTACTGCCTGGTTTTTTCTGCATTTCTAATCAATGTTTAATGTTTCAGAAATATTGGAGCAGTTAAGCTGCATGCCTGAATCTACAGCACACAAGGGCAAGGCAGAGTTGTTGCTTGCTAATATGAAAATGGTCAAAACTTTGCATATGTTTACTTTAGATGTGGTTTTTCTTTTCTTTCTTTCTTTTCTTTTTTCTTTTTCTTCTTTTTTTTTTTTTTTTTTTTTTGGTTTTTTGAGACAGGGCTTCTCTGTATAGCCCTGGTTGTCCTGGAACTCACTCTGTAGACCAGGCTGGCCTCGAACTCAGAAATCCGCCTGCCTCTGCCTCCCAAGTGCTGGGATTAAAGGCGTATGCCACCACCACCCGGCAAGATGTGGTTTTTCTAAATCATACTTCATTCATAATTCTTTTTTTTTTTTTTTTTTTTTACAAGGTTGCTCTGTGTAGCCCTGGCTATCCTGGGACTCACTCTGTAGACCAGTCTGGCCTCGAACTCAGAAATCTACCTGCCTCTGCCTCCCAAGTGCTGGTATTTCATTCATAATTCTTACAGTTCCGTCTGATCTTTTGTACTTTATATTTCCAGGTTCCCTGGCCAGCTCCATTTTTGACCCACTTAAGTGTCTTGTGGGTGCTTCAGGAGGAGTCTACGCACTGATGGGAGGCTATTTTATGAATGTTATAGTGGTAAGAATTTTGGGAATGGAAGTTTTAGAGACAGGGTCTCTCGTGTAGCCCAGGCTAGCCTGGGACCTGATAAATAGTAGAAGATGACCTTGACCTGGCTTCGGATCTTTGACCCTGTACCTGCCAGAATTACAAGCATGCACCACCATGCCCCATTTCTGGACTTAAAAAGAACGATGTGTTTATTTTATGTTATGTGAGTATTTCCTGTATGAGCATATGTGCATCACATGTATTCCTGGAGTCTGTGGCAGTCAAAAACAAGGGGGGGGGCAATCCCCTGGAACAGGAGTCACAGATGGTTGTGAGCCACTGTGTGGGTGTTAGACTTGAACCCAGATCCCCTGAAGCCATCTCTCCAGCTCCTGAATTTCTTTTGTTTTTGTTTTCTTTATAAATGAATAGTGGCTTGACTTGGGGAGTCCTGACTTATCAACATTTACTGAGTTCTTATGAATTAAGAATTTTTTGGCCACTAGAAAAAGAAAACCCTCCATCCAGCTGTCATAGCCTCTTTGTGCCATGATGTCACCAGGATACTGCTTAGGCAGTCTGCATTTTGATTTATGGACTCGTTTCTCCCTCCCCTTTCAAACAATAAACTTTCTTCCTAGGGAACTAAAGTCTGATTAAAAACAACATCCTAGGGCTGGAGAGATAGCTCACTGGTTAAGAGCACTGACTGCTCTTCCAGAGGTCCTGAGTTCAAATCCCAGCAACCACATGGTGGCTCACAACCATCTGTAATGGAATCTGATGCCCTCTTCTGGTGTGTCTGAAGACAGCTACAGTATATATCTATATATAGATATATACTGTATATATACTATATATGTTATATATACATACACATATATGTTATATATATATATATATATATCTCACATCCTAAAGCCAGTGAGATGACTCAAAAGGTAAAGACTCTTGCCACTAGCCCTGAATACTTGAGTTCAATCTCCTAGACTCACATGGAAGGAGAGAAACTTTCTTATGATTTCCATATGCAAGCCATGTATGCACACACACACACACACACACACACACACATATGCATGCACACTCATGCATGCTGCATTCACACACATACATATAGACACACTAAGATTTTGAAAATATAATTTAAGAATAATAGTCTATTCCTGGCATTTCCAGTTATTGTAAAAAAAAAAAAGAAAGAAAGAAAGAAATGCTCAGACATTAGTTAAATCTTTCTTAACTACTACTGGGAAAAAGGATGAAATAGCTAAAGAATATTAACCAGAAAGGCTTAGATATATTTTACAGACTTAGCTCCTTGTTTATTGATATATATATATTTAAAGATTTATTTATGTTGCTTATATGAGTACACTGTAGCTATCTTCAGACACACCAGAAGAGGGCATCAGATCCCACTACAGATGATTGTGAGCCACCATGTGGTTGCTGGGAATTGAACTCAGAACCTCTGGAAGAGCAGTCAGTGCTCTTAACCGCTGAGCCATCTCTCCAGCCCATTTATTGATTTGTTAAATGTTGATTTTTATATTATTTGCATTGAATTACTGGCTAATGAAATTGTGTCATTTGCATTATAAAATTAAACACTATGTTTTGTGGTCCAAAGTATAACAGCATTGGCCTTCCCTGATGCATTTTAAAACTTGGCTGTTGGATCTATGGTTTGCCTTGCCAATATTTGACACATAAACATTGCTTTAAACTGTGTGTGGTATTCCTCACTTTTAATCCCAACACTTGAGAGACTGAGGCAGGCAGGGATCTGTAAGTTCAAAGCCATCCTGGTCTACAGAGTGAGTTCCAGGACAGCGGGGGCTACAGAGAAACCCAGTCTTGAAAAATAAAACAGACAAACAAAAACCTGAAACCAAACAAAAAACAAAGAACCAAACAAAGCAAAAAGAAGAAAGGAAAAGCAAATGAAGAAGAAATGGTGTTGGGACCCCGTGGCCTACAGCTCGTATTCTTCTTCTTGTCTTTTCCCCAGCATTTTCGAGAAATGATTCCTGCCTTTGGAATCGTCAGACTACTCATTATCATTCTGATAGGTAAGTGAACTTTTCGGACACTATTTACCCTCAGTCTTATCCTCAGTCTTCATCTGAAGGGATGATGGATAGTCTAGCCTTGGGAAGAATGGTCCACTGGTTTTGGAGCCTTGGTGATGTGTTGGGACAAGCTCTGGATGTGCTTGCTCTGCGTGTCTCGCCTCTCACAATAGCTTCACTTAACGTTTTCTGCTTCAGACTCTTGTTTCAAATGTCAGGACATATACAACTTCTGTCTGCATAGGAACAGCTTAAAAACCGCTAAGATAATCTATCTTCTTCCTAAAGTTCAAAATTTTCAACTTTTGTGGTAGTGGCAGGTTTGAGATAAGTTTGTGTAGATCAGGCTGGCTTTGAACTCCTCATCCTCCTGCCTCACCTCCTGAGCACTAAGATAACAGACCTATGCTCTCATACCTAAACCTGGTTTTATACAGTGCCAGCGATCCATCCCAGGGTCTCCTCAATTGCAGGCCAGCGCCCCACCAAGTGAGTTAGAGCCACAGTCTCTGTCCTGGTTTCTGTATGCAGAAGATGGCACCATTACCCTCACTTGGCTTGCTAAGGCAGCCCTCTATCTGTTCTCTCTGTTCCTGTTCTTGCTTCGTATTTTCCACCTAACCAGAATGATCCTTTCTCAGCACCTAAAAGAAAGGCAAACCAAAAATCTCATCAGATTAATGTCATCCAGGCCCCAAATCTTCAAAGTCTTCCTGTCACTCAGATGTCAAAGTCATATGTCAAGGTCCCTATTTCAGAAGGCCTCTGAGTATCAATCACTCCCTAGCTCCTTGCCTGGTCCCACCAGAATTGCTGGAAGTCTCTTTAAAACAGGAGGCTCACTCTTGACCTCAGTTTTTTATTCACCTGTGTAGGGTGATCCAGAGAATTTATTTTTTAATAAGTTTCTGGTGCCAAGTATCATGGTTCCTGCCTATAATTCCAGCATTCCAGAGGCCAAGGCAGGAAGATGCCCTCAAGTTTGGGCTCACTAAGTCTAAGACTAGCCTGGGATGTATAGTGAAACCCCATCTCAAGTAAAATAAAACAGATGTTCCTAAGTGCTTTTGATTTGCTGGTTTGAGGGGATATTTCTGCCTCAGGGACTTCATGCTTGCTCCTCACTCTGCAGGAGTCTTGCTTTACATATCAGCATGCTTGCTCCACCTAGTGAAGGAGTCTTAGAGAGCTCCCTGATCCTCCTATTAAAATCAATAGCTTGGCTGATAGAACATCTCAGTAGGTAAAAGTGCCTGACACCAACCCTGACATACTGAGTTCAAGTCCCAGGATCCACATGGTGGAAGCAGAGGATTGACTTCTGCAAGCTGTCCTCCTGTCTCCACACAGGCACTGTGGCACATAAATACACACACACACACACACACACAGAGAGAGAGAGAGAGAGAGAGAGAGAGAGAGAGAGAGAGAGAGAGAGAGAGA